GCTGAGGCATCCTAGGCCTGCCCTGTAACCTGATGACATCTGTGCTGTGCTGTATACTGGGGAAGCAATAAACCACCTCTATTCTACCGTCTGGTGGAGTCTGTTCCTGCCATTTCGGGGGTAGAGGAGACGGGGAACCCCCAATGAGCTGTCACAGGGGGTGTCTCCTGCTCTGAATCTTATACATTACAGCATCATGAAGACCTGAAAGTTCAGGCTTCTCTTCCCTTTTTGTACCAGATGTGAGCTCTCCATGAACTCATCCGCCAGTCTCCCGGCCTCCTGAGGGTTCTCTCGTCTTCGGTCCTTGAGCCATAGCCTCAGTCTAGGTGTGCATGCTTCATAGAACTGCTCCATCATGACCAGCTTGAGCAGCTCCTCTGCGGTCTGGGCTCTGCACTGCATTTCAGAGGAATTTGGGATCAACCCCAGGCTCCACACAGCCTCTGCCTCTTTGAAATGCCACCTTAGAATTACAAAGGGGCAGCACTGCACAGCTGAGCCAGGGAGCACTGGTGAAGTGCTGCCTCTTTGAATGCCACTTTGGTGGATCAGCGGTGGATCAGCTGTGTGGCCCTGCCACTTTGAAATGACCTGGAAGTGTTCAAAGGCAAAGCCCTGCACAGCTGATCCCAGGCTCAGGTGTGCAGCACTGCCCTCTGAAATACCCCCTCAGCCTCTCCCTCCCTTTGCTGCCTCTATCTGATAGAGGCAGCGTGGCGGGAAAGGGGGTGGAGAATTGACTAGTCTTTAACAACTAGTCTTTAACATGCTTAATTCTGACAGGTTTCCTGCTCCATCAGTGATGATAAACATTTGGCTGTGTGCATTTTCAAATGATCCCACAGCATATCATGCCAGCTCTGCAAAGGTAGCTAGCCTAACAGACTAGCTTATACCTATTGGTATCAATACAAGCGGACATTAATATTCTTCCGCCTCTGCCGTTTTTCAGAAGAAAATACCTTCCAAAGCCGCTCCAGCCAACGTTACTAGGAGCAAAAAACTCATTGTCCGTGGCGCTGGAGGGGAACGTTGTCAGGGACTGGCTGGTCACTGCCCAGACACCCAGCTCAGCCAGTAGTATGGATTTACTATTGCCCCTTAAGACAGTCAAAGAGTTAAATTGCCCAACATTTATAGACAGAGATAAACAACTCTAGGTATCATTTTTATACATGAATTACACATTTGGTACTTCTCATTTGTACGTCCCTCTGCTTATAAAAGACACGCGCTGCTCCTGCCAGGGGTCTGACTGACCCTCGGGCTCCGGATGCAGGAGTCAGACTGTCCCAGCCTCGGTGTCTGTGCAGCGCCGGGCACGGGGCGCTGGGACGCTCCTGAACTTTCGGACCCCTGAAGGGACGAGCAGCTCCCTGCAGTGACTCTCAGGTCACTGTCAGGTGACCCCCCTCCCATGCGCACAGGGGCCATACAGCACCGGTCACTGAATCAGTGTGCGGGGAGAGGCCGTGTCCCAGGCAGCCATAGGGCCAGGACCCCGCTGGGGAGGGCAGATTTCCCTCCTCGGTGGGAGGGATTTGGGCCAGAAGCCCCTTTCTCTCCCGGCAAGGATCGGCTGCACCGAACTCCCCCGTGGCACGTGGAGCAGAAAGCAGGCTGCAGGTCTATGTGGACCATTGCTCTGGCCCGGTTCGGACCGTCCTATCTTCAAGACTAGATTCATTTACTGGTGCCTCGCACGGCATTTCTGGACAACTCCTGTTTGTTATCGCGATACAATTTCCATTGGGATACAATCGATAGCCTGATAATTCCTGTACTGTTGCAAAGAGGGAAAATCCGGTTATTTATCCTTTCACTGCGTTGACGCGTTTTGCAAAGAGCCCGAAAGCCCTGGGAACAGAGAGTGACTGGGCAGGACACGTAGGTGTCGCTCACAAGAGCTTGAGACGTGCTGTGGGATTAGCTGAGCAGAGAGACGCTGGCCGGGAAGGCGCTGCTCTGCGGCCAGTACTGGAAGCCTGGTTCTCTGTTTTGTGCTGGCGCTGGGAGGTTTCCCCTCACTGTGAGTATCTGGCACAGCGGTACAGGGCGGTGTCCGCGGGCTGCAGGCCGCTCAGCTGCAGGGACACTTGGCTTTTGGAGGTCTCCCTGGTGATGCTGACGCGGCTTTGGAGGACATCGTTATACTCAGTGTGTCCCCCAGACCATATGACTCCCACCCATTCCAGCCCTTTCCCCTCTGGCTGGCGAATCCAGTGAATATCGGTGCTAAGGAGAGAGAATCCGGACACGGTGCAGGTCAGGGTGAGGGTCTCTCCGGCCTTCTTGACTCCCCCTCCGGACTCCACCAGGCTGATCTGCGACCAGACACCTGCAGAGGGAAGGAAATAAAGGGGAAATATCGGGGGCGCAGTTATTAAGGGACATGCGGTCCCGGCGCCCAACTGCAGCGCAGCCCCGCCCTTACTAGCGGGGAGCAGCAGGAAGAAAGCGCTGGCCAGGCTGGGGCCCATGTCTGCGGCTGGCGGCTCGTTTCCCAGGCGGGAGGGGAAGCTGCAGCCCAGCGCTGGCTCTGAGCGGTAGGAGCGACCAGCGGCCGGGCTATGAATAGGCCCCGGGGAGCTAATTTGCATGGGCGAGGGGCGGGGCCAATAGACCTCGCGGACCCAAGCGTTACTTCCCAGTGACATTTATATTTTCTCTCTCTCCCCCCCCCCTCCGCCCCCCTTCAGCTGCACAATGTCCTGGAACATGAATATGGGCTCAGGCTTTAAAAGCAGGATCCAAGGGCTGGGCAAGGAGGGAAAGTCAACTCTGGGCCGAGGGGTGGCACAAGACGGAGACACGGAAGGGCTAGAGGGGGTGGGATGGGGGTTCAATAGGGCCGGGTCCCTCGGCAAAGCCCTTTATCCAGGGGTCATGATTTCTCTTGATCCGTTGCAATCAATGACACCCCCACCTCCACCCATGGACCAGGGTTCCAATGGATGTTCATTCACAGCCCAGCTCCCACCAGCGAAACTCCGAGGGGATTTCGGTGCCGACAGGGGGCGGGCTTTGAAGGCTCTCAGAGACTGTCCGATGTATCCGCACGAGGAGGAGGTGAGGTGCTGAATTCTCTTCGGGGATCTCGCCCTAAGCACCTACTGAGAGCCGCGGGCAGGTGGCTGTCCGGCTCGCCCGAGCTCCCGTCCTGTCGGAGTTCAAACCGATGTGCCCAGGCTGAGGGGCTGGGAAGCTCCTGAGGGATTATAGTGGGACTGAGGTGCCCATGCGGGTGGCAAAGCTCAGCCTGGCTGTGAGAGAGGGGTGTAAATAGGGTGTTTTCATGCACTTTGCTGTGGGTTCTGTCAGGCTGGGCTGCGGGGAGACTAGGAGAGGATGAAGAGAAGCGGGAGCAGCGGAGTGAGGGGCACAGACTGTGGCAGGGGGCAGGGAGAGCTGTGGGCCTGGCTGGCTTTTTCTGACACCGCGCTCGGTCCCTGTGCGCATGTGTGTAGGAGGGAGCCACAGGTGGGAACTCAGGGCTCTGGTTTAGAAATCCCAGCCCACACCCCGTGCTCCAGCTGTCTGACTGATGGCCAGGGAGGTGCGGGTTTCCAGCCCAGCGCACAGAGCCTTGGATTCACACGGAGCCTTTTCTCACGCAGTGCCCAGCGCTGCACGGTCACTGCTGCCCCCTGGCGGCTCAAGGCAGGGGGTGCAGCCTGGGTTTGTGTAGAATCTCGAGTAGGTTTTGTGTCACTGTGTCTCGCACAGTAATAGCGGGCGGTGTCCTCGGGCTTCAGGCCGGTCATTTGCAGATAAACCGAGTTCACGGCGTTGTCTCGAGAAATGGTGAATCGGCCTTGGACAGCCGGGGAATACCATTGTTTGGATCCAGTTGGCTGGCTGACTTGAGCCACCCAGTCCAGCCCCTTCCCGGGAGCCTGCCGGACCCAGTGCATGTTGTAGTTGCTGAAGGTGAAGCCGGAGGCTTTGCAGGAGAGGCGCAGAGAGTCTCCGGGCTTCTTCACATCCCCTCCGGACTCCACCAAACTGATCTGGGACCGGGCACCTGGGAATACAGACAGCTTATAAGTATCAGAATAAAACCATTTATAATAAAATACCCTTTAAGTGTCTTCGTTGATTCAGGAAAGAAAATACCTTCCAAAGCGGTTACAGCCAAAATAACAGGGAGCAAAAATGTCATTGTCCCTGGTGCTGGCGGGGAAAATTCTGCGGGGACTGGCTGGTCACTGCCCAGACACAGGGGCTGCGGATTGTCCCTGCGGGTGCAGCCTGGGCAGCACGAGGGACAGATTTAAACAGGAAACTGACACTCCAATTTGCATATTCCGCGCCCTATAAAAGAGAGACAAACTCTCGCCACCGTTGATCCGAATCACTTGCGCAGAGGCGGAGAGAAGGGGGCATGGTCAGCTCCGTTGTGTTTGTGCAGAGCCGAGCGCACTGCGGCGGGGTCCCTCAGGGACAAACCCGCTCCTGCCTTGAATGACTCCTAGGCCCCGCGTTAGAGCCAATCCAGAAGCTGCTGCTGCCGGCTGATATCTCACGCGAGGGGCGAGGCAGGCTCTGATGATGGAGTCTCTGGGGGTGAGCTTGGCAGAGGGAGACACTGGGGGAAAAAATGGGGGAGGCTGGGGGATGAGCCCTGCTGGTGCGCACATTTCTCTTCGGTTCTCAGATTCGGTGGGAATTGTAGCTCCAGACTTGGGGGCCCAAACGAGTTTAACGCGATTCGGTGCCTGGATCCCACAGACGCTCAATGCTATTTTTCTCTTTTACACCCCTTGGGACTGGCGAGCTCTAGTTCGCACCGTGTCTGTAACTTTACCCCGATCCCTTTCCGCTGCTCTCAGTGCCCCTCAATCCCGACTTGCAGCCGTCCCTCTGTTCCCCCAAGCACTATAACGCCCCTCACTCTGCGCCGCAGGAGGCAAGAGGCCGTTGCAGGGGGAACCTTTGGAAAGGTACAAACTGGGAGCCCAGTTCTGATCTCTCCTGACTAGCAGCGGACAGACTGGAGCGGGGCTCTTGGCTCTAGCGGCCTCCCAGCCCGGCTGTTCTGTTGTTAATTCCCTGTCGTAAGGAAGCGACCAAGGCTCCCACGTGAGCTCAAACCCTGAGGCTGTGAGCCTCACACTCCATTCTGTGTGTGAGTAGAGAACTGGCTCTTTGCCAGAGGTTTGCCAGCTGGAGCACCAAATGCGGACACGGGCCTCAAGGCTAGATAACACTGAGCCCTGCCAGGAGTGCAGGGGATGGGACGAGACTGGATGTCCGCTCTGGGCCAGGGATTATAAAGCAGCGTGTTCCAGTTCCAATATCACATGCCTGCCGGTGGGTGGATGTTCGTGCTGCTCCCTGCAGGAGGGACTCAGCCCTGTCAGTGTCCGTGTGGGTCGGGTAGAGGCTCTGGGCTCAGCTCTCCCCGCTGCTCTGGCTTCACTGCCCTGCTCAGAATCCGCTTCCCCTTTTTGTGCCAGTCCCTGCTTCGCTCCGTGTCATTGTGCATCCGGCACAGAAATATGTGGCGGTGTCTGCAGCTGTCAGCGCGCTGAGCCGCAGATAATACTTGGTGTTGGAAGAATCCACGGTGATGGTGATGCGGCCTTGCAGGGACGGGTTGTAGTTTGTGCTCCCGCCCCTGCCCTATCCACTCCAGCCCTTTGCCCGGGGCCTGCCAGTAGGTGCTGCTGGTGACGGTGCCCCCGGTGACAGAGCAGGTGAGTGTGAGGGTCTCTCCGGGCTTCACCGCGCCCGGGCCGGACTCCTGGAGCTGGATCTGAGAGAGAGCACCTGGGAAAAGCAGGGATCGGTCAGACTCCAACCCACCTGCCTCCTCCCCCAACCCGCGCCACCTCGCACCGAGACTCACCCCGGGCCAGGGCCAGGAGGAGCAGCGGGAGGAGCGGAGAGTTCATGGTGCACTAGGAGGGGAGGACACGTCAGTTTTGCACTCACGGGAGCCGCTTCTTTAGCTCAGAGCCCGGAGCGGGGATTTGCATAACGAGGCATCCCCCAAGGGAGGGGCGAGAAGGAGGCAATCAAAAGGCCCCTCTGCTTCAGCCCAGGGCTCGGAGAGGAGATTTGCATAAGGAGGGGGCGCCCGGGGGAGGGGCGAGAAGGAGCCGATGAAAAGGCCTCCCTGTGCCCCTCCTGGAGAGACAATAGTGGGTCTGTTTGTGTCTCTCTCCCCGCCCTCCCACGAGCTTTGCTCGGTTGCTGCAAAGGAGGAAGACACAAAAGCCCAGAGTGAATTAAACTCTCTCACCCCGCTCCTGTCTGTCTCATTATAGGAGGGGGCGCCCGGGGGAGGGGCGAGAAGGAGCCGATGAAAAGGCCTCCCTGTGCCCCTCCTGGAGAGACAATAGTGGGTCTGTTTGTGTCTCTCTCCCCGCCCTCCCACGAGCTTTGCTCGGTTGCTGCAAAGGAGGAAGACACAAAAGCCCAGAGTGAATTAAACTCTCTCACCCCGCTCCTGTCTGTCTCATTATTCGTGTAAACAAACCAGACACCGAAGAAATCAAGTTTTGGGCCCTGGGGCTCCAGTTATTCCGCTCCATTCCCTGTTCCAAAACCCGAAACAGTTATCCCTGATGCGTCCCAACCTCAACATTTATTGGTTATTGATGATGGAGGGGAGGCACAGTAGGTAGGTAGGTGGGCGGTTAGGTGTCTCTGTTGCCTTATTAAGAGGGGTCTTGGCGCCCAGATCCCCTAGAGATCTTAGCAAATCAGAGCCTGACACTCCCTCGGGACAAGGGGCTCCGTTTCTAGAGGGCTCCGCTGCTGATTTCCGCATAACCACAGGCTGGCAGGGGGGTTTGTGTCACTTTAAATGGGCTCCGAGCGCTTTCATTGCATTCAGGGGAGGTGGGTGAAGTTGGGTGGGCGGAGCAGGGTTGTAACCTGGAACTGGCACCAGGATCTCGGCTCCAGCCCCGGGGCTGACACCCCCGTTTTGAAGGTGACGGGAATAAACAGAGATTCCAGCTTCGAGCTCAAACGTGACGCTTTGCTGCCCCCCTGTGGCTCTGTCCCATTAGTGAGTGTAGGAACTATTTTGCTCTCTTTTCCCTATTAAGGTTTAGGTCAGATTTTTTTTTCCCTAGGGCTGAGAGATGCCCCACGGATCTGTCCCCTGGAGGCAACACAATCCAAATGCCCAGCTCTCCCTATATCTGTCCCTTATGACCAGCTGGAGTTCCTTTTGTTTGTGTTTGCTTCGGGTACAGCAGCACGGGTTCAAGTCAGAAACTTAACAGCCCTTGCTTATTTGTAGGAGAAAGAAGGGAAAGAAAGGAATGAAAAAAATTGAATGAGGGCACCAATTTATTTTTACTATAATTTAGACAGAGGTCGGAAGGCAAACCCCGGCGATTTGATTGACAGGAAATGATTTCTGGGGCTTTAAAAATGGCCACCCAATTATTAATTTGCAAAATGGCTGCTGCACCTTTGATTGACAAGCTAATGATTTTTCTGTGGTCTGACTGGATAATTGCTGACTGCAGGTCTCCATTGAAACAAAATGGCCACTGGGAGTGCTTCAATTAAGGAGAAAGTTTTCCTAAGTGTGATTGACAGCCTAACAAGATACCAGAGTTTACATTGAAAAGAACAGCTGTTCTAATAGAAGTTAAGTGTTTATTGCAGTTTACAGGTAGATACAAAGACTCCCTGCGGTTTGATTGACAAGTTAATTGGGTTCTGCAGTTTATAGCTAAATCACCTTACCAAAGGCAGTTTTACCATAGAAGTGAAACAATTTGACTTAAAAAACTATAATAGAGTAACTAAACATAACATAGTACCAATTAAACTGTACACATAAAGAAACACATTGCAGGTATAATTCTCACCCCTGTGTTCCAGACTTGGCCTGGCCATCTATCTCTCTAAATCCCTCGGGAAGAAGTAGGGCAAGGTTGGGCGTCCCACTGACCTCGGGAGACAATCAATACCTGCCAGCAGATGTCGGTGATTGGAGCTCAAATGGGGTGGGCTACTAAACCCCTCTTTATAGCCCTTGGGTCACATAGGGTTCTTCCTGGTATCAAGTGGCCAAATAGGAAAAATGGCTTTGAACACCAAGTTTCCCAGGAAGGGTGCAAAGCATAATTTACACCTGGGAAAATGCAGACAATGGGCACCTCTGGTATGTGATGGGCAAAGATTCCTCTCCTGGGACAGTGCAGGAGTGTCAATTACTGGTACTAGCCATCAGGGCGACAGGAGGCCCCGGGTCATCAGCTAGCCCATTTACTGTCTGGTTTCCGTTTATGGTAGAGTCAGGAAAGCCACAGAAATTTCATTATCGCTTTCGTACACTGAGGGAAACTTCCAGCGGGCAGGGCCGGGCTGGTCTGTGTCTGGGCAAAGACTGAGGCTCCTAGCCCAGGGGTCTGGAATTTACACAGGAAGCTCCGGGGATTGCACCTAGCGGGTATAACAGGGGCAGATCTCTAGGTAGGGAGCGGTTTGTGGTACAAAGCAGAGTCACATTCCCCTGCGTGTCCCAGCGTGTGCAGGGCAGAGCAGTGACACAGGGACATTGCACCTTTCTGTGTGTTTGTACCTCTCAAGTAAAGTGAGTTCTGGGATGAGAGGGAAGGTCCTTTCATGGATTCATATCTGGTCAAAGGACATGAAGCAAAGGGTAGGAATAAGAGGTCTGTTGGCGAGGAGGGGATTTACATGCTCGCTTCCTAACGTGTCTATAAATGAAGAAAGGGTGTGAGCTCTGTCTACACGTGGGGATCTCTCCCTACCACTCTGCCCCCACAGTGAATTCAATAGAAGCCCAAACTCAATTGCAATCACTTTTTGACAGTCACTATTCTCAAAGGCCTTTGACATTCTCAGCCAAATATCAGCGCACAACGGAGCCTTCTTAGGAATGAAGGAAAATTTGGAAAAGAGAAACTGCCCCGTTCTCCTGCGGCTTTTGTGAAGATTTCAAAGAAGCCCCCTGGAATTCAGAGTCCAAATGGCAGGCAAATCCCAAACTCAATTGCAATCACTTTTTGACAGTCACTATTCTCAAAGGCCTTTGACATTCTCAGCCAAATATCAGCGCACAACGGAGCCTTCTTAGGAATGAAGGAAAATTTGGAAAAGAGAAACTGCCCCGTTCTCCTGCGGCTTTTGTGAAGATTTCAAAGAAGCCCCCTGGAATTCAGAGTCCAAATGGCAGGCAAATGGCAGGACATGTCTGGAACTGTCCCTGCTCCCCTCCCCTTCCACCCCCAGCCAGTGTCTGCTCTGCCTGGCCCTGGGAGCAATGGCCCCGGCTCACATGCCGGACAGTGTCCGCCTGGGGAAGGTGGTGTCTGACGACGCTTTGCTGACAAAAGTATTTTCCAGCCCAAATGGCATTTCTGCTCCTGAAGCGGACACTGGAGAAGGAGGATGGAGAAGCAATTGCGGGTTGGGGCTGTGGTCTACTAGAGGGTTCTCTGATAGAGGGGTGGCATTCGAGGCACTTCGGGTGGAAGGAGGTTTGCGGCTCGGTAAGAGGGAAGGGGACAGGGACCCATGGACTGCGCTGTCCCAGGGCCAATCGGGCCTGTCTGGCTAAAAGCCTTTGGCCCACCTGTCCCCTGGGAATTTCTCTGTATTCACTCCCCCCTGTAAAATAGGTTCTGTGCCCAGGCCGAGCCGGAGCTTTCAAAGGGGCCTTATTGTGCGTGTGGAAACCGCTTCCCATTTTTGTGCCAGGCCCTGGCGCTGTGTCTCTTTTCCTGGCGCAGTAATAGGTGGCGGTGTCCGCAGCTGTCAGCGCGCGAAGCTGCAGCGAGAGCTGGTTCCGGGCGGTGTCTGCGGACAAGGTGACCCGGCTTTGGAAAGACTCTGCGGCATAAGTGGCGGTGGCCCCGTCATAAACCCCTCCCACCCACTCCAGCCCCTTTCCGACAGGCTGGGGGGAACAAACCCCGCCGCTCGGGCTGTCGTGGGGGGACAGAGTGGGTCAGGGCGAGAATCTCTCCGGGCTTCACCATCCTTGGCCCGGGCCGGACTGGACCAGCTGGGAAGAGAGAGAATCAGCCACAGAACTGATGTGCGGTTCTGCCTGAATTCCCCCCATGTGCCCCACGAACACTCACAGCCGGGGGCGGCGAGCAGGGCGAGGAAAAGCAGCAGAGGTTCCATTCTCGTTCCCAGGCACTGAGGGAAACTCCCTCGCGGGCAGGGCCGGGCAGGGCTGTGTCTGGGCAGAGACTGAGGATCCTAGAACCAGGGGCTGGTATTTAACCCGGCAGCCCCGAGCAGGGATCTGCATGCGGGTTCCCAGCCGGATATAAGGGGAGCTCAGCATATGGCGATGTCCCCTCGGAGACAGGTTTTCCCTTTAAACAAAAAAGATGCTGCGCTCTGCTCAGCGCTCGCAGGGTGGCAGGAGGGGGCTGGGATAGGGTTAGAAATCGAAAGCTGAAGAAATGTAGGAAGAAGCAGGAGAGATACGAGCACCAACCAAGCCAGCCTGGTCCGTGCCCAGGGTCTGTCTCCTAAAGTCTTTTGGGTTGAGCATAGATCTCTGCTACCAGGGGTTCTTCACTTACTGAGCTACTGAGCAGGAACCGGAGGCTTCACGGGCAAGGCGCAGACAGTCTCCGGGATTTTTCACCCCGCCTCGCCCCGCCCCCCAAAAGCACTTGGGACCTGGTGCGCTACGAAGCAGGAGATTTTGTCCCAGGATAAACCTGGGGGTCTCCCTCCGGGCCAGGAGTAAATCAGGTCCCAGCACTGCGCGAGCGGTGTCTCCTCCACGGGCCCAGAGGGACTTTGGCTGCAAACAGGGGACGTGGCTGGGCAGTGAAAGGGTTAAAGCCCCGCGGCAGGTTTGTGTTTTATTCGCCTGGAGGCGCCTTCTCCGCTTGTTATCAGCACCGGGTTGTTTGTGTCTCTGCCGCCCCCGCAGCCTGGGTTTTTGCAGGAACGTCAATCGGTTTCACGTCACTGTGTCTCTCGCACAGTAATAGCGGGCGGTGTCCTCGGGCTTCAGGCCGGTCATTTGCAGGTGCAGCAGGTTGTTGGGATTGTCCCTGGAGATGGTGAATCGGCCTTTCACGGCATCAAGGTAGTGTGTAGTACTCCCATCGCTGCTGAAGTAAGCGACCCACTCCAGCCCCTTCCCGGGAGCCTGCCGGACCCAGTTCATCCTGTAGCTGCTGAAGGTGAAGCCGGAGGCTTTGCAGGAGAGGCGCAGAGAGTCTCCGGGTTTCTTCACATCCCCTCCGGTCTCCACCAAGCTGATCTGGGACCGGGCACCTGGGACCAAACACGATACAAACATAAGAATCAAAATCGCAAACACAAATTATCCGCCCACCTCTCCAGCGTCTTTAGCTAGAAAATACCTGGCAAAGCTGCCACCGCGAAAACTAAATAGACCCAAAATTCCATTTTTCCCGTTGCAGGGGGTAGAGCTGGCTGGTAACTGAACAGACACCGGGGCTACGGGGTGTCTCTCCGGGTGCAGTCTAGGGCGAGGGAGACACCGATATAAGCAGGCAGCGGTCACGGCCATTTGAATATTCCCCTCCTCATCAGAGACACAAACGCCTTCACTTAACTACCGAGTCACTGCCAGGGAGTGTCCGGCAGAAGGAGTCTCTTTCCCCCTCCCGGTGTGTTTGTGCAGCGCCTGGCACAGCGCGGGGGGTCCCGATGGGCTCTCACAGCGCTGGGGAGATGAGGAGAAATGACGTCACGTAGCTCTCCATTCATGTCTAGGGGTTGCCTGGGAATCGGCTGTGGAGAAGGGAAATAAGTTGAATTGGCGTTAGTGGCTTTGGCTCAGGCTGTGGGGGGGGGGGGGGGGGGGGGGGCGCGGCCGCAGAAGGGCGTAACACGGAGGGCGGGAGAAAGAATCCCCGAAAACCTCGCAACAACTCTTAGCGGTGGATCACTCGGCTCGTGCGTCGATGAAGAACGCAGCTAGCTGCGAGAATTAATGTGAATTGCAGGACACATTGATCATCGACACTTCGAACGCACTTGCGGCCCCGGGTTCCTCCCGGGGCTACGCCTGTCTGAGCGTCGCTTGAAGGTCAATCGTCTCCGCGGGTGCGGTGGCGGCGGGAGGCTGCCCTCCTCCTCCTCCTCTGGTGCTGGAGGGCAGCGAGGCAACCTGCCGCCGAAGCTCCGCCGGAGATGCGGCTGGGGTGTCGCAGGCACCGGGGCCGGTCCTTCGTGGCTGTCCCCAACGCCTACGTCCCCCTAAATTCAGACCCGATGCCCCGGAGCGTCCGCTTCGGGGAGCTCGTCCCGTGTGCGGAGGAGCGGTGCCGCGGCGGCCATCCGCGCGCGCGCGCCTCGTTGCCCCCCCCCCCCAACCCGGTCCCGCACCCCCCGCGCAAACTTTTGGGGGGGGAGCCAAGGCGCCAGACATTCGTGTTTGCCCGGGATTGCCGACTCCTTCCTCTTCTTCCCCCGCCACTGCCTGCGGGGTTTGCCTGGCGCTGCACAACCCCTCGGGGCAGAGGATTCTGCACCCGGAGTTGCAGGGCGGGGGGAGGGGCGAGTTTTACAGAGGAAACTGAGTCAGAGAACTTGCTTCTCATGAGCGCACAATGAAGCTTAGTGCCCAGCGCGCTGCCGGGACAAGCAGGGGAGACGCTGCTAAGAGCCATCAGGGAGCGGGCCCTGAGGCAGTGGGTCTGGGCTGTCTTTCAGCTACACGCTCCATAAGGCTGGAACTGCCAAAGTCTCCTAGCGGAGTTGGGTTGAGGAGTAGGGGGCATCGGCACCAGGTGGAGCCTGGGAGATCCCCCATTGACTGTAGTCCCCTGCCACCTAGTGGCCAATCGATCCCATCTCGAACTGCACCTGCTGGGTTCACACAGACTTTCCACCCTTCACCTCTGTGGCTGTCCCGCCCCCCATTCTCCTTATTTGTTCTCTGGCCGTGCCCGGGAGTCCAGACACGGACCGGGGCCCCATGTGCTAGCTGCTGAACAAACACCCACTGCCACGAAATCCCCGGATTTCCTCTCCTCCCTATCCCTGTGTGAGGGTTGGCTCCAGAAAGAAACGTGGGACATGAATAGAGGTTGCCGGGTGCCTGGGACTGGAAACCAGCAGTCAACGGTGGGTAGGCCTTGTTCCCCCTGCCACTTTGGTGGCATGACATCCCTGTCTGTCTGTCCACCCCCACACGCCCAACCTGTATCCATTCATCCATCTGCATATACAATCTATCTATCTATCTTCCCCATACACTCCCGACTCTCTCTCTGTGATGTAGTGGGCAGGCCATACAGTGCGTTTGGACTCTGAGTGACCCCTGCTGGCCTGTATCGGTAAGCACTGCCCAGCAGGACAGCTGCCTAAGCTCACCGAGGTAAGGACCCAACCTGTCCCACCGGTTGAGGGCAGGGAGAGAGACAATAGGAGGGAGACAGAGATGAACAGCGGGTTTCCAGAGAAGGGGAATTTCTGGCTGGGAAACATGAAGGAAACGGCCTTAGCTGAGGGCTGAGGATCTAGGGATAAGGATGGATCCCCTAATCCAAGGGGTCTGAGGCATTCTGGCCCTGACTCCTGAAACCACATCACATCTATGCTGTGCTGTATCCTGGAGAAGCAATAAACTTCCTCTAGTCTACTGGCTGGCAGAGTCTGTTCTTGTTGCTACGGGGCTGCAGGATCGGGGGAACCCCAACTAGTCGCCACACTCTCTCTCTCCTTCCCTCTGTGTTTAGTGCTGTTGTGGCCACATCTGCTTATATTGGGCCACCTTCTGTGGGTGAAAGAAACTTGCTTTTGAGTTCACTCTGAAGTCGTCTTCGAGCCTCGTTCTCTCGCGCTAGCCTTCCATTCCCAGTATGCACCTGCCCCTCTGACCCGCTAACCCAGTTCTCTCCACAGAGGGCAGGTCCCCGCATGACCCCGAGATGGGGAAGACAAACGAAACCACCAAACGCTTCCAAGAGGCAAAACTTTCCCCTGGCTTTGGAAAGGAGCAGCCCAGGTCCCCTTCCTCAGCGCGCCCGCCAGCCACCATGGTGCAGGAGAGCCTGACACTCCATGAGTCTGGGAGAGTGTCTGGAAGAACTTGGACCTCTAATGAGGCCCTTTGCGCCTCTGTTGCACATCGCGGGTCCCAGCGGCGGCAGCCCAGGTCCCCAGCGCAGGCTGTGCTGAGGCGGAAGGAAGAGGTTATATATTTGGGGAACAACAATAGAGCGCAGGATCTGAGGCAACGCTGGACCAGACAAGACACGTACCAGGAGCTCCTTATGTTCCTGTCTCCCTGTAAGTCAGTCAGGAGGAGAGCAACAGGCCACGCTACTCCTCTTTCGCACCATATTAGATTTACACCAGCTGCATTCTTCACCATATCAATTCAGCCCAAAAGTTCACCCAGCCGTAGCTGTATTAATCTGAAGTGTGTTGGGAAGATCATCCTACGGGGTTAGCATTATATATAGATTAAGGGATGGGGACGAATCCTTGCAATTTAATTTAGTAGGTCTCAGACTTCCTGAGAAAACAAATCTCGTTTCATAGCCTTTGTAAAGCTGTGCCAAAATAAGGCACTGAGGCTGAGGACAGGTTTCTGAATATGATTGTACGTGTATAGGTTTAACGAGACCATCAAGAGTTACATTCGCAATGACTGTTGAAACAAACAAATTGTAAGGCATCGCTAGCTTTTGTCATTGTAGGGGGTGGTGGTGAAGTACTGGTGAATGACAAAAATGTTGTCACTCAATTGGCCGTATAGACAAACCCTAATAGGGTGCATGATAATGTTGCTCTTAAGAATTCAGGGCCAGATGATTAAAGATATTCTGATGTCTAAGGAGGAAGAGAGATACTTGGGTTTTTTCACTTGGTGCCCGACTCCTATTGGAACCCATAGGCATTAGGTGCATAGGTGTTTTTGAAGAGCTCCGTAGGTGCATATTTGCTTACTGAAGTGCCTAAACCTTTTTTCACATTCTGGCTCATATAGATGCAAATAGCTCGTTCCCAAATCAGCACCCTGGACAGCGTCCCCACTTATTCCCATTCCTATAACTTCTACTAAAATATAGACGGAAGGAATTCTAGAACGGGAAGGGACCTGGAGGGATCATCAAATCCAGTTCTCTGCACCCAGAGCAGGACCAAGTACCATCTAGATCATCCCTGATTGGTGTCTAGCCAACCTGCTCTTAAATATCTCCAATGATGGAGATTCCACAACCTCCCTAAGCAATTTATGCCAGTGTTTACCCAACTTGACAAGTAGATTTTTTCCCTAATGTCCAACATAAGCCTCTCTTGCTGCAATTTAAGCCCATTGCTTCTTGTCCTAGCTTCAGAGGTTAAGGAGAATAATTTTTCTCCCTCCTCCTTTTAATACCCTTTTAGGTATTTGAAAGCTGTTACCATGACTGATGCATGAGCCATTATATTTTATAAAGGGCAGACTTTCAAAAGTGATGTCCATTGGATCAGGTTTACAAAGATGCTGAAAATGCAGATAGGCCACTACAGGGATTCAAACACACACCTGAGTGAATTAGATTACTTACATTCCTTAATGTCCAACATGATTTGTGTACCTTTGAAAAATCTCTCCCAAAGTGATCAGATATTGTGGGGATGGGATCAATAAATAGATACTGTGGAGTGAATAATATCTATCGCCCTTTGGTGACCAAATGGAAAAATGCAAAATACTTGCAAGTTGAGTTGACCCCATATGGATTTCTTCCCACAGAAACAAAAAGCTACATTACATTTCAGGATCAGCTCAATATTTTGTTGAATCCAATATGAATTTTGTTTTTTTTTTCATTTTAGGATTATTTTTGTTTTGTTTTGTTGGTTGGTTGGTTTAAATACATTTAGCTACATTTCTAAATGAAACATCATTTTGAAACATAAAACATTTGCTTCAAAATGCGAAAATCACACATTTAGATTTTTATGGTCTCTTTAAACATTGGAAATGATTCACTGAATGTGACCCTCATTTGTGAATAATTTCTGTCTACCTTACCTGCATTTTTCAGTGCATAAGATATTCTTCCAAAAACAGTCACCCAACGCTGTGTTATAAATATGAAGGGACAGCTGGGACATCATTGGGTATCATATAACCATTTTTATTTATTATACACAAACCTACATAATCTAGTTACATGGCTCCTCTATCAAGTGTCTTCTTCAATAGTAGACAGGCAGTCTCCCTAGAGGGATGGCTCTGAAACTATTTAATGGGAATCCTACATGATCTCTGTAACCATTTCTTCTCCCTTCTAGGAGTAAACATGAGAGAGACAGTGACCCCGAATCACACGATGGTGACTGAGTTCATCCTTCTGGGACTCTCCTCCAACCCACAGACACAAATTATCCTCTTTGCGGTCTTCCTACCCATCTACCTGCTGACCTTGGCTGGGAACATCCTTATTATGGTCACTGTTGTCTACGATCGGCGCCTTCACACGCCAATGTACTTCTTCCTCACCAACCTCTCTTTGATTGATGTGTGCCATGCCTCGGTCACTGTGCCCAAGATGCTGTTCGACTTCCTATTGAAAGAGAAGACCATCTCCTTTGGGGGTTGCGTGGCACAGATGATATTTCTCCACCTCTTTGCCTGCACAGAGATCTTCCTCCTCACCGTCATGGCCTACGACCGCTACGTGGCCATCTGTAAACCAATGCACTACCTCACCATCATGAACCACAAGGTCTGCGTGCTGCTGGCCGGTGCTGCGTGGCTCGGAGGGACCGTGCACTCCTTATCTCTGACAGGCATGACCATCAATCTGCCGTATTGTGGGCCCCGGGAGATAGACAACTTCTTCTGCGATGTGCCACTGTTCATCAGGCTGGCCTGCACTGACACCTACATCATCGAAGTGCTCATCATCTCCAACTCAGGGCTCATCTCCGTGGTCTGCTTCATGGTGCTGGTGGGTTCTTACGGTGTCATTCTAGTCTCCTTGAGAAACCGCTTCTCCAAGGGGAGGCACAAAGCCCTTTCCACCTGTGCCGCCCACCTGACGGTGGTGACGACTGCATCTTCACTTACTCCCGCCCTTCCATCAGCTTCTCTGAGGACAAGGTTTTGTCAGTGTTCTTCACAGCTATCACCCCCTTTCTCAACCCCATCATCTACTCCCTGAGGAACGAGGATATAAAACAGGCGCTCAGAAAGCTCATGGGGAGAAAGGTGGATGCGGAAGAGAAATAGAACCCGGATCTCAGGAAGGGATGTGTTCTAGGGGATGCTCCCAGATTTCCAGCACCATACCCAATAGGGCTGCATGTATCAGAAGTGATGATGGTTTTTCCTTGGTCCTTGGCTCACATCCTTTCACAGGATTCATCAGCCAGGACTAACTGAACTTCATTTCTCCCATAAAGGTATCCTGTAAAAATATGGCAAAAATTGAGCCATGTCAGGTCTTTTTCAAAGTTCTGATTGATTGATTGATTCATTGATTGATTGTTTGACTAAGCAGTGTTAGTTTATTATTAATATTAAAGTATCAACTTTGTTCCCATTTTTAAAAGTTGATTTTTATTTTACTTTCAGTTTTTCAATAGGGAGGCCTAGTTTTCTTTCCCTTTTCTCATTTCCATTTTTGCTTCTTCCCTCCCCTTCCAGAAAGTAGAAAAGCATGGGAAAGGCAGATGACTCCAATATCCACGTCGGGCCCCTTAGAACTAGGGCCCTGAATCCCACCAGGGTCCCAGCCTGAGACCTCATCATCATCGCCAGTTAATGGAGATTTGGCCTCAATTTGGAGTTGGCTTAGAGACCCCAGGAGCCAGGCCCTCAGATGGGGTAAGGAAGGGCAGGGCCATGGAGCTGGGAGGGCCCAATCCCCAGGTCCACTGTGGCCTGGATTCTGATCTTGCTCCTCATGGCCTGCCTCCTGGGAAGTTCCTTCAGGTGTAGTGCAGCTTTTTCCTTCGGCCCTGCACACTGGTGTAAATCCAAAGTAACACCATCGGGATCAGAGGAGCTGTGTTGATCTCTGCCAGCTGACAATCTAAACCCTGCATTGGAAGGGGGGTTAGGATGTTGATGCCTGTTTGGTCTTTGCTGCTCTGTGACACAAGCCAGAGAATTCTGCAATGGTGTGAAATAGCAGAGAGCTGGGTCAGAGGCTGGGCTGGAGGCCTCTGAGTCCAACAGAACTTTTTCCTGGGTTTGTGTCGTGGTGTTCCCCGGCCCCTGCTCTGTGCAGCAGGGTGGGGATGGAGTGTGTGTGTGTGAAGAATGACATAACATGAAATGTCAATGAATGGCTGATAGGGTTTGATTTGTTATGGCTAATATGCTGTACTTACTGGAGAGCTACTGTTGTATGGACATAGTTTACCCTGTTGTTTAAGAAGCCCCAAATAAAATAGCTAGACCATAGTGGCCAATGAAAACATGAGATTCGTACTGGTTTAACTTACACTGGGACTTTACACTGATTGAGTTAAACCAGTGCTAAAAAGTTGTGGGGACATTCTTGTTTTGGTTAAAGCAGATTAGCTTAAGTTCATTAGGAACACACTTGAGATGTGGACACATAAAGAGGGTGGAGAGTGTGTGCGTGGGGGTGACATTCTGGGCTGTACAGATGGAGGCACCATATGTCTTGTGCAGCATGGCACAGCACTTGTGGCAGGGCAGCAGAGAGTCTGCGTACAGAATGGCATCGCTGTTTGCAGGACAGTAGCCCCTGTCAGATCCTGGCACCATTGCTCTGGGGGCTGCTCAGATTTGCTGTCAGACTCTGGCAGGGGTGACATTCCCATTTCTCCCCTTTTCAATGGGCTGAACCTCGCTCTGCGTCTTGCTGGGAGGAACCCTGCCATGGAGACAGATCCAGAGACATCGCACAGAGAGGGAGCAGAAAGGGAAAGGACTAGATTCAGGGGGTTTCCAGCAGCCAATTGCTGCTGTCCCTGCACTGAAGCTCTAATAAGGCTCCTAGAGATTCCTCTAATCACTATTAATTCCTGCCCTTCCCCTGGGGGGCATCTTGCTTGGAAGCCGGGTGCAGGGGCAGAGGGTAGACATGATAATTAATCTCTGTAGATGTGCTCTCCCCAGCACAGGCACAGCATCCCATGGGGCACAGGGGGTGTCGGGATTAATTAAAATATTGGTATTGTTAAGGAGTCTCCAGACTGGGTCATCTCACTGCACTGGGGGCCAGGCTCAGAAGTGACTCTGGGTTTCCATCAGCTGAGTTCTGTGTGTCCTTGCCGGGAACACAACCCTGCTTCCGACAATTTTAATTTGCATTAATCCTCTTCTTCTCCTGGGCACTGTGGTGGGACCTACAGTCTGGGCCTGAAATGTGGGGTCCTTTGTGCTGCACCCAGCCCAGACGCATAATAAGAGACAGTCCCCCGGACTATCACACACTGAGTGGCTGAGAGTGACAAAGGGTTGAATTTGACTGAATTAAGCTGCGTCTAAAAGAGATTTAGTGAGTTATTCAAAGTCAACCCGAGAGTGCCCCACACAGCCTGCACTGGAACCCAGTGTGACGTAGTGGGGGCTGTGTTCACTCTTGTAGCCACAGTGTCCACTCTGTTTTTGCATTCACTGTTGGCTTTGTTGTGCTCTGTGTGATTCTACACTCCTGTGCTGCTCTGCAGTGACTCTGTGTGTGTGTGTGTGTGTGTGTGTGTGTGTGTGTGTGTGTGTATACTGCTCAGTGGGGGATGGGATCTCTGGGGGAGCACTCCTGAGGGGAGGCACGTAGGGAATGGCCCAGCCTGGCCTGAGGCCTGAACTAGGTGGAGGATTCAGTCAGGTGACACTTTGCTCAGGAATCTGCAAAAGGGGCAGTCTGGAGACCAGTGAGCAGTTGCTGGGTGTGGGAGTCAGTTTGGGGCTGGCTTAGGGTACGTCTACACTAGCTTGTTAGTTCGAGCTAGGTAGGCAAATGAGGGCAACCGGAGTTGCAAATGAAGCCCGGGATTTAAATATGTTTCATTTGCATGTTCCCGGGCTCCGCCATTTTTAATTCCCCCTTAGTCCGAACTAACTGCCCTCGGCTAGACGCGGCAGTAAACGTTAATTCAAACTAACTCCTTGTTTAGAGCAAGACAGGAGAAGTCATTCTTCCACTCTACTCTGTGCTGATTAGGCCTCAGCTGGAATACTGTGTCCAGTTCTGGGCACCGCATTTCAAGAAAGATGTGGAGAAATTGGAGAAGGTCTGGAGAAGAGCAACAAAAAAGGTCTGGAAAATATGACCTATGACTCTGAGGAATCATAGAATCATAGAATAATAGGACTGGAAGGGACCTCGAGAGGTCATCGAGTCCAGCCCCCCGCCCTCAAGGCAGGATCAAGCTCCGTCTACACCATCCCTGACAGATGTCTATCTAACCTGTTCTTAAATATCTCCAGAGAGGGAGATTCCACCACCTCCCTTGGCAATTTATTCCAATATTTGACCACCCTGACAGTTAGGAATTTTTTCCTAATGTCCAATCTAAACCTCCCCTGCTGCACTTTAAGCCCATTACTCCATGTCCTGTCCTCAGAAACCAAGAGGAACAAATTTTCACCTTCCTCCTTGTGACACCCTTTTAGATATTTGAAAACCACTATCATGTCCCCCCTTAATCTTCTTTTTTCCAAACTAAACAAGCCCAGTTCATGAAGCCTGGCTTCATAGGCTTCTCTAGACCTTTAATCATTCTTGTCGCTCTTCTCTGTACCCTTTCCAATTTCTCCACATCTTTCTTGAAATGTGGCGCCCAGAACTGGACACAGTACTCCAGCTGAGGCCTAACTAGCGCAGAGTAGAGCGGCAGAATGACTTCACGAGTTTTGCTTACAACACACCTGTTAATACAACCTAGAATCATATTTGCTTTTTTGGCAACAGCATCACACTGTTGACTCATATTCAACTTGTGGTCCACTATGACCCCTAGATCCCTTTCCGCCATGCTCCTTCCTAGACAGTCGCTTCCCATCTTGTATGTATGGAACTGATTGTTCCTTCCTAAGTGGAGCACTTTGCATTTCTCCTTATTAAACCTCATCCTGTTTACCTCTGACCATTTCTCTAACTTGCTAAGGTCATTCTGAATTATGTCCCTATCCTCCAAAGAAGTCGCAACCCCACCCAGTTTGGTATCATCTGCAAACTTAATAAGAGTACTCTCTATCCCAATATCTACATCATTGATGAAGATATTGAACAGTACGGGTCCCAAAACAGACCCTTGAGGAACTCCACTTGTTATCCCTTTCCAGCAGGATTTAGAACCGTTAACAACAACTCTCTGACTACGGTTATCCAGCCAATTATGCACCCACCTTATCGTGGCCCTATCTAAGTTATATTTGCCTAGTTTATCAATAAGAATATCATGCGAGACCGTATCAAATGCCTTACTAAAGTCTAGGTATATGACATCCACCGCTTCTCCCTTATCCACAAGGCTCGTTATCCTATCAAAGAAAGCTATCAGATTAGTTTGGCATGACTTGTTCTTCACAAACCCATGCTGGCTATTCCCTATCACTTTATTACCTTCCAAGTGTTTGCATATGATTTCCTTAATTACCTGCTCCATTATCTTCCCTGGGACAGACGTTAAACTGACCGGTCTATAATTTCCTGGGTTGTTCTTATTCCCCTTTTTATAGATGGGCACAATATTTGCCCTTTTCCAGTCTTCTGGAATCTCCCCTGTCTGCCATGATTTTTCAAAGATCATAGCTAAAGGCTCAGATACCTCCTCTATCAGCTCCTTGAGTATCCTGGGATGCATTTCATCAGGACCTGGTGACTTGCTGACATCTAACTTTCCTAAGTGATTTTTAACTTGTTCTTTGTGTATCCTATCTTCTAAACTTACCCTCTCTCTGCTTGTATTCACTACGTTAGGCACACCTCCAGACTTCTCGGTGAAGACCGAAACAAAGAAGTCATTGAGCATCTCCGCCATTTCCAAGTTCCCTGTTACTGCTTCTCCCTCCTCACTAAGCAGTGGGCCTACCCTGTCCTTGGTCTTCCTCTTGCTTTTAATGTATTTATAAAAGGTCTTCTTGTTTCCCTTTATGCCTGTAGCTAGTTTGATCTCATTTTGTGCCTTTGCCTTTCTAATCTTGCCCCTGCATTCCCGTGTTGCTTGCCTATATTCATCCTTTGTTAGTTGTCCTAGTTTCCATTTTTTATATGACTCCTTTTTTATTTTGAGATCATGCAAGATCTC